GGCAGTGGGTGGGTGGTGTGGGGCAGTGGGGTGGTGTGGGGCAGTGGGGTGGTGTGAGGCAGTGGGGTGGTGTGGGGCAGTATGTATATGGATTTCAACTCCCACATTAAAAAGTTCACAGGATGATTTTCAGGGGTTTGGGCTTGGTGGGCATGTAATTCTGCTCAGGCTATTAGGATGGAAAAGGTTCAGAATGCTTGCCCCTGGTATTAGGGGAAAGGCCCCACCTGCATTTCTTAGCAGACCCTGGTTGACCAGGACAGTAATTCCGGTCAGGGCGGCCTTTTTGTGCTTCCCCTCCCCCACCAAGAAGTGAGACTGGGCCCGGTCACCATGGAAAGTCACATGACATGGCAAACACACGGAGTTCAGCTTGGGCACACTATGCTTCCTCAGCTCTGCCCGTCTGTGCCAAAGTTGTGTGGACATTTTAACCATAGCATGGCATTTCAAAAATGACTTGGAAGTGACTAATACAGGGTTAGAATTTGGCTGTTTTCATGCATTCAGAATGATGCAGTTAAAATTTGTTTTGGGAACAATGCTTAAGTTCCAGTAGACGATGAGTGGCGCGTGTTGCTATAATGCAGTGTCTGTCTGTCTGTCTGAAAATTCCAGGCATGGTCGCAGTGCTGCCTCTGCTCCCCGTCCCACAGCCTGGACCAGCTCCTGCCTCTGCTGCTCCCTCCACATGGCCCTGCTGGGGCAGCTAGTGGTACTGTCCTTGGGACTCTAGCACACGGGACCTTGTTGGAGAGTCGAGGAGATATGGTGGCCATCTGCAGTTGGTGTGTGTCCTGTGGGCCGATGCTCTCAGCTGGGGAGGGCTCGTGTGCGCTCTGTCCTCTGGGTCCAGCAGCCTGGGAGAGCAAGGCCCAGGGAACTGTGTGGACGTACAGAGGGCTGCTTCATCATTAGGCTCTTTCACGGGACACGGAATCTGTAGAAAAATCTCTGAACCCCCTGCAGCTTCATGATTTGAATCGGGGTCTCCAGCAGGGGCAGCCACAAGCAGCCCCCACAAATGACAGCCTGTGAGGCTTTCATTTTGTCATTGGACACCAGTGGTCCTTGTGCCCTGTGAGGTGCTGTGTGGACAGTGGTGTTGCTGGTGAATGTACCGTGTGGGCATCCATGGAGGGTGCGTGTGGGACTCGGAGCTGGCCACCACATGACCCCATGTCGTCTGCAGTTCACTTATGTGGGCTCCCTGAAAAGGCTCTGATTCCCCTTGTGTTTCTCCGAAGGTCATTGTCTTCTCGGGGTTTCCATGGCGGTGTGGATCCGAGTGGGTTGTAACAGCCACAGAAGCAGAACCTAGAAAGCCGTCTCTAGAAAGCCGCTCCTAGCTATGCTTTCAGCCACATCAGTGGGGCCTGTGCCAACTTCTGTCCTGGAGGGCAGTCTGGGCAGTGTCGTTCCTGGTCACGTGTGATGAGGCCAGTCCTGAGGGCAGCAGGCATCCCTGCATTTCCTGCTTCCTAGTCCCCTGAGAGAAGCAGAGTGGACACAGACGTCCAGTGCTCACTGTGTGGGCAGCGTGAGGCCCTTTGCCCAGCTGCATGCTCGTCCTAGGCTCAGGCTTGGTCCCCATAGTGACAGCACACACTCCCCCAGATTGTGGTGTCTGTGCTTGAGAAGGGCTTTCCATCTTCTTCCTCTTTTCAGAACTTTGGTGAAATTGTAATGTAGACTTGTACGATGGCCTTCAAAAAGTTCGTGGAAAAATTTCATCCTTTTAATCTCATTTTCTGCCAGATTTGCTGACCCCACTCGTCTTTTCAGCCATTTAGAGAGAAGCAGCGATTTCTCTGAAGGTGCTCTCTGGGAGCCGAGTTTGAAAAGCCTTAAAGGAAGACCCACCAGGCACTTTTAGTTCTGGGGACTGTGTGTGTCACACGGTCACTCCACGACCTTCACTGAGTCCCCTGGCTCCGGGTCCACACCAAACGCTGAGACTCAGGACAGACCAGTGATTTAGTAAGATGGTCCTAAGAACGTGAGATCCACATCTCATCCTCCTTTAGTCCTCAGAGTACCCTGTGTGGTGTCTCACGAGCTGTAGCGACACTGATGATTCTTGTTGAATAACACCTGTGACGTCCCTGAACACGCAGTCTGCCATTTACAGATGTACCACAGGTTCATGGATTCTGTTAGCCAGGAACGTGAGGAAGAGTACTTCATCAGTTTCTAACTTGGTAGGCTGAGAAATGGTGACTTCCTTTTCAGTGGGATCCAGGCTTATGCACGGTTCTCAGTTGTGGGCTTTTAAATAGGTCTTTGTCTGTCCACAGGGCTGCTGTGTTGTGAGTGGAATCGGCCTCTTGTGTGTGTGTGTGGTGGCCAGGTGTGAAGCATGAATCCCATCTCTGGTCAGAGCCACTAGTGAAGAGGAAGGGAGGGGCTTTTCTGCAAGCTCTCTCTTAGAAGGCTGTTGGAGCTGCCACTCTGAGGCCACCCCAC